TGTCAACTCTGCGTGCAAGGTGGGAACCAGCCCTGGACAGGGCACCATTCCATAACAATACATACGCACACTCACTCCGATTGACACCATTAAGACGTGCAAATTAATTTAATGTGCACTTTGTTAGGATATGGGAGGAAACTGCAGTGCCCAGAGAAAACCTGCACAGATATGGGGAGAGCATGCAAACTCCACACAGACAGTGGCTCTGGCCAGGAATTGGTTATTTTCTCATCCAGTGTTACAATGGAAATAGTCTTTCTTTTCCTCATCAATTTTATAACTAGATGATATTGAATAAAACAATGTTATTTAAGGACCTTCTGTATTTGTAACAAGATGGAAACACTGTAGCCAAAAAACCAAAAATGATGTAATGTATTAACAGGCACTTAGTTCTGTTTTTCTTTGTTTTTCACTGTTTAATGCTTTCGGATGATAGACCACCTGTTTATTCTTATTTAGAGCATTGGCTAGTAGCCCTGCTACAAATTTGAATAATAGGGCAAATTGTGAGCATCATTGTGTTCTTCCTGATTTTAATGGAATGATTTTAAAGTTTCACCATCAAGTATTATATAGTTGCTAACGTTTTTGATAAACTCCCTTTCTATCAGGTTAAGAAAATTTCCTTCTATTACCAGGGTGGTGTTTTTTGATTTTTTTTTTTTCATTTCTGACTAAATGTTGAATTTTACCATGCGTTTTATTTTTGTAGCTTTTAAGTTGAGCATGTTTTTTCTTTTAATTTTTAGTTCAGTATATTGAATAGTTTTTCACCCAATTTTAACCATTTTTGAATTCCCGAAAGTAATCTTACTTGGTCAAAATTTATTTTAATTCATTGATGGATTCTGTTGTCGAATATTTTATTTAGTATTTTAGCATCTATGTTTATAAGTAGATTGGTTTATAATTTTCTCATATTCTCCTTGTCTAGTTTTATATTTCCTTGTCTAATTAATATATTGAAATTATATTAGTCATATAATTATTTGGAGGAGCTGTTTTTTTCTTTTCTGTTTTCTGGACTACAGTTTATAGGTTATAAAGATTATTCATTTCTTAAAAGTGGTAAAATTTCACAGTTACAACGTTTATGCCTATATTCCCTTCCTACTTGTTTTGGAGAAGATAGATCTGAGTTCTGTGTTCATTAAAAATTTTTTTGTTTTATTTGTATTTTCTAACTTTAGGCTAATTTTAATAATTTATAATTTTTTCCACCTCATCTCAATTTTAAATTTATGAATAACAAATAAAAAGGAAGCAAAGACTAGAGACCCAAGAATGTGGAATTACTGCTGTGCCAAATGCTGATATTTTACCTTAAAGAGTAGCAAATGGCAAAGGATAGACAAAGAAATGCAACTTCATTATGGAGGTTATAATTCCAGTGGTTGGTATTATAAAAAATATCAACCTAATCTGTTATAAATGTGTTTCTCCATAGGGACTCATCTGTCATTCCTAAATATTTTGAAGAATGTTTTGGGAAGTAAGATTTTCAACAACAACTTTTTTGAGACAGCTGTTTTGCATAAAGTAGCAGTTCTCAAAATGTGGTTCATGCCCCTGGTGACTCTGAGACCTTTTCAAAGAATCTGGTCAAAACTGTCTTCTTGGTAATATTAAGATGTTGTTTGCCTTTTTCACTGTGTTGATATTTGCACTAATAATACAAAAGCAATAGTGGGTAAACCTGCTGGTCCCTTAGCAAAATCAAGGCAATTGTGACAAACTGTACTAGGAGTCATTTTATTCCTTACCACCACACAGATGCAAAAAACCCTGTTTATTGAAGCAGTAAATAATATTTCATTAAATTGTTACTTTTAAGTACATCTTTTTAAAAAATGCTTTGTGGGGAAAAAACAAGAATCAATAGAATACTTCTGCAGTCTACTGATGGCTGATGATGGTCTTGAGGAAAAACCTGTGTTCAGTTGTTTCAGTTGAGAGTTGAACTAGGCACCCTTTCATGGCACATTATTTTTTACTTGAATGATTGACAAACTATATTCAGACATGGATAGTTGGCAGTATTATAAGTGATAAATTGGAACTTTATACAAAGATTTATATCCTAGAAACACTGAAGTAGAATCTCTTAGATTGTGGCCCAGTGACCTGCATTTAAGTAAATGCAAGATGTTCCTTATACTGTATATTTGAGCAGGTGACATTGTACCAAGATCTAAATGATGAGAAAGGAGCCAACCATGCAGAGACACAGAAGGGGTGAGGAGGTCTAGACAAGGGTTATCCAGTAGAAACATAAAGCAAACCTTATCTGTAAAGCCACATAAACAAGTAAAAAGAAACAGGTTAAATTAATTTATAATACATTTTACTTAATGCAGTATTTAAAAAATATTATTTCAACATGTACTTAAACATATTGAGATATTTTACATTATTTTTTTTCTGCGAAGACTTCAAAATCTGGTGTATATTTTATACTTAAGTGCACATCTCAATTTAGGTAAGCCACATTTCAAGCACTAAATAAGCATACCTGGCTAGTAGCTACTCTGTAGAATAGCTTACATCTATGAAGAGTGAACAGCCAGTACAAAGGCCCTGAAGGAGATTCACATAGCGATGTGCATTGGCGTTTGGAAGCTGAAAATACTGGTTTAGAGCTTTGGAACAAGATCAAAACCAGACATATGGTTATAAAAATCGTTGATATAGAAGAATTGTCACACAGAGCGAGTATAGGTTTTAGTGTTTAAATGAAGACTTCTAAGGATCTCCTACAGGGTTTTTTCTACTACATAGTTGCATGGAAAAATTTCAGGGAGAAGAAGGCAGGTATCTCATGGTATAGGCAGATGTGGCGTTTCTCCATACTTAATCCTGATATGACTCCTCCCTGTAGTCCCTATCCTGGCTGAGGACCACTGGTTAAAAGGGAGAAGAAGATAAAAGGCTAAGAAGATATAGAGAGGGAAGAAGAATACTAAAGAAGTTAAGTGTGTTAGTGCTTCAACAGTAAAGAAAGAGGAGGGCAAGATATTTGCATACAAATGATTTTTGTTTTTTGAGTCTGAGTTTTGCTCTTGTTACACAGGCTGGAGTGCAGTGGTGTGATCTCAGCCCACTACAACCTCTGTCTCCCAGGTTCAAGTAATTCTCCTGCTTCAGCCTCTCAAGTAGCTGGGACTACAGGCATGTGCCACCACGCCAGGGTAAGTTTTTGTATTTTTAGTAGAGGTGGAGTTTCACCATGTTGGCCAGGCTGATGTCGAACTCCTGACTTCAAGTGACCTACCCACCTTGACCTCCCAAAGTGCTGGGATTACAGGTGCGAGTCACCACACCCGATCAAATTAAATTATTTTTGGTGGTCATTGAGGTTGTAGTTGAGATGGAGTGGTCAATTGGGCTAAGATGCATTCTGAAGACGGGTCAGTAGAGACAGAAGTACATCCTGTCTACTGAAAGATCTGGCCCTCTCAGCCCTGTGTTCTTTAAGTCCTTCACTGAAAGTTGGTAACTGTCTAGGCATGTTCCCTGTCTTACAGTTCCTATAGTTGCATTTTACTTAATAATTGTTAATTATACGCATGTCCTGACCATACTATAGATTCCCTTGGGGAATTTTTTTTAAATGCCCATTTCTACATCCATCCCCATCTCAGAATCAGTCAAAATTTCTAGGAGTGGGGCTTAGGCATCACTCTTTTTTAAAGCTTCCCAATCAATTCTGTGTGCTACCATTGAAAAACTATTATCTGTGGCATAGTGAGCACTTCTGAGACAGAAAATAAGTTTTACTCATTTTTATGTTCCCAGAGTTTGGACTCATTGTCTGGCACATAGTTAACTTTCAGTAAGTGTTGAATGAATGAGAAATGAGTGAACAAATGAGGAAATGTGGCCAGGAAACTAGGCAGGCCCATGTAGGTAGCCTGATAAATTAATAATGCCTTTCTTTATGCTGGACAATTACCGGACAAGTTACTTAACACCCTGTTTCTATTTTGGAATTGTTACATATTAATGTGAAACTATTATCCCAAATTGGTCTAAATCAAAGTATTGATATAAAATCTCAGGTGTAAAAATAGATTAAAAAATCGTTTCTATTCTCTGAGTCTTGCTTGGTTATATACAAGATGTAGCATATAGTTAACTGTTCCAATGAGTACAATATAATGGAGGCTTTGTTGCATTCAGGATAAAGGATTTTTACTATGAATTTAAATGATTTTAAGTAGGCACTACCAATTTTCACAGAATTAACAACTCAGTAAATCCTATTATTTTAAAAATTTAATGCTGTAGCTATTCAAAACATCCTACTTATAAGAATATTTATAGTTCTTTGTCGTGACTCTGAATACCACTGTAGGCCAAATGTAGTGGTTCATGCCTGTAATCCCAGCACTTTAGGAGGCTGAGGCGGGGGATTGCTTGGAAAGCCAGGAATTTGATACCAGCCTGGGCTACCAAGCAAGATTCTTTCTCTACAGAAAGTTAAAAAAAGAAAAAAAAAATTAGTCAAGTGTAATGGTGCTCTCCTATAGTCCCTGCTACTTGGGAGATGGAGGCAAGGAGATTGCTTGAGCCCAGAAGTTCAAGGCTGTAGTGAGCTATGATTGTGCCATTGTGTCTCAGCCTGGGTGACAACAGTGAGAGCCTGTCTAAAAACAAACAAAATACTACTGCAGTAATTATTGAATTGACTCTTCAGATTCTGTTTACCACCTTTAGTGGGAGACAAATGAAAAGCAGTAGATATAAAACTTTGTGCACAAAGAAAATAAGCTGGTAGTCGTTAACATAATGTATCATTGTAATTAATTGGAATTTTCAGTCTCACATGTAATGCATAGAGTGCCCAACCCTAAGACCTGATAACTAGTGGGTACCTTAATAAATGATAGTTCCCTTCTTTACGCTCCACTTGCAGCTAATGCTCTGCTAAGGATTTAGAAAGTCTAGTTTATCTGACCGTTTAATATTCTAAAAATGCATTAATGTTCCCACAGATGAAAAGAAGTGAAGAATTGATAACTAAAAATCATAGTCAAGAGGAAACAAGTATTCTTCGTTGTTGGAAATGCAGAAAATGTATAGCAAACTCTGGTTGTTTCATGGAGTATCTTGAGAATCAAGTAATTGAGGTGAGTGTTGGTAATTCCAGTATTCAGTTTCCTGGTAGAGGAATGCTGTGGGCATATCCACAATATCCACACACATGTACACTTATTCTTCTCTACCTTATTAAGAATATTTATAGTTCTTTGTCATGACTCTTTGGCTCTTATGTTATTTCACCTGACCCACTGAAAACATTCTAAAGTGGTATTCAAAAAGCATCCCCCTCTACACAGTTAAAATTAATTTTACCTTTAATTAGTAATGTTAATATGACCTTAATGTTTTAAGTGCAATGTTATAGGCATAAGTTGAAGATAATAGTGTTCTTATTCCCACTATGAGTGAGCCTCAGTAATCACTGCACAACTAAATTCAGAATCCTAGTAAGAAGGGGAAACTGGTTATATAGTTTTGTTGTTGTTGTTGTTGTTTTTGTATCCACTATGGGCCTAAAAAAGAAAGTTCATGTATAATATGAAGGTAACCCATAGGAAAACCTGAATAATATTCAAGTGTGTGTTTGGTCATCTTGCTACAAATGAATGGTTTTAAACAACAAAAACAAAAATTCCTAAACTTCTGTAAGACGAATATCAGAGAGGCATGAGCTAGAAAGTAATTCATGGAGTTTAGAGGGAATTCTAAATTTAACAGAGAGAGTGACTGTAATCACCTGTCATTATTTTCTTCCGCTTCTTTGAGAGACATACTCAGCTTTTTGGTTTGAGTTTGTTTCATTGCTTTACCTAAGTTATATTTGATCTGATGGTTTCCCTTCCATTTTAACAAATTAGCCAGCCTTCACTGATAATAGTAGATAACTTTGATGGATACTCACTACATGCCAAATATCTTGTAATGACTTGAAATAACATTTTAATTGGGAAAAAACCCAAAACTTTTTATGCTAAGAGTATTTTGGTGGATATAACTTACATGTAATAAAAAATTAAATGTACAACTTTAGAAGATCAAGATAGGCATTTACATCACCCCAGGAATTTTTGTCTTGCCCTTCTCCAGGCAGTGGTCTCCCTCTCACTGATGTCTATCACCGTAGTCTAGTTTTGTCTGTTCTTTTCCTTAGTTCAAATGGAATAAGATAGCATGAACTCTTTTGTGCTGACTTATTTTCGTCAGCATAGTGTTTGAGAGATTCATTTATGTTTTGCTTGTATCAATAATGGGTTCCTTTTTTCTCCTGAGCCATGTGCCATTTATGAATATGCCACAATTTATCAACTTTTTTCTGCTGATGGGTATTGACTTCATTCCAGCTTTAAGTTATGAATATAACTGCTATTAAACTTTTTCTAACTTATATAGTCATGTTTTATTATTTCTTTTTAATATATGCATAGGAATGGATTTTTGATGTCATGGGGGTAGGTATAGATTGATTTTTTTTAAATAAATTGTTAGTTTTTCAAAGTTTATGTTTACTTCTGGTAGCAACATATGAGAATTCCAGTTACATCTTTGCCAATACTTAGTATTTTCTGTCTTTATAATTTTAGCCATTCTGATAGATGTATGGTGGTATATCATTATAGATTTAATTTTCATTCCTTGGTGCGAATGATGTAGACTACCTTTTTACGTACTTACTGGTTAGGAGCTGTTTTAAATGCTTTTTAAATATTATTCATTTCTTACAGTCACTATTTGAGGAAGATGCCCTGTCATTTCCATTTCATAGATAAGGAAACTGAGGCACAGAAGGTTAAGTAATTTGCCCAGGCTCACACTGCTCCTTAGAAGTACAGCTATAACTGGACTGGGCAGTGAGGCTCCAGAGCTGGTGCTCATAACCTCCACACTCTCTTTGCTGCCTTTGCTTTTAGGGTATCATATGATGTCATTTCTCAGTAGAGTGGCTGATCCTTTTATTTACCTGGAGAACTCCTACTCATTCATTCATTAAAGCATATTTAATGAGCAAGAACAGTTCAAGCACTGCTGTAGGATGTATTGGGATGGACAATGGAAAAGTGATACAGAGTTGAAAAAATATACTCTGGTCCTTAGGATCTCTAAATTCTAGTTGAAAATAGGCCAACCAATATAGCCTGATTTGAGGAATACTGTGACAGAGGAATGCAAATAAAATTCTGCTTGGGCTGGTCACAGATGGCTTCACAGAAAAGGTATTATGTGAACATAGATATGTTTTTTCTTCCAGATTTTAAAGTATAATTTGTAGATCATAAAATTCACCCATTGTTAGATAACAATTTAATGATTTTTAGTTGTGCAACCACCACTACACTGCAGTTTTGAGCTATTTTCATTACCCCATAAAGTTTCCTCAAGCCTATTTGTCCAAGCAAATAGGCTTGTTTTGGTATGTTTCCCCACCCCAGGAAACATACCAATTTTATTTCAGTCTCTGTAGATTTATATGTAAAATAAAATGTATATACATAATAAAATATGAAAACCATTGAATATACCTTATAAAATAAAAATCTATTCATTTATATAAAATTGCATATGTAATTTTAAAATATATAAAAATTATATACTAAAATATGTATAAAATACACACAAATTATTTTAAAATGAAGGGATAATTCAGTATCATGGTTAAGCCTCAGCAGAAGGGGTAGTATGTAAGCAGGGACTATGAAGGGGGCTTCTAAAGTAACCTGAATGTTAAATTTCTTAATCTTGGTAGTGGGCGTATTGATATTTTCTTTCTTTTACATTCCCTTTATGAAACATATTTTATATTTTATAAATCTGTATACTATATAAAAATATTTAAAATGAACATGAAAGGATCCTTGAAAGGAAACCACAAAACAAATTATTAGAACCCAAAAGTAATTTTTATCGGTACTGTGCTGAAAGGTTGCTAAATTTATCACCTATTAAAGTATATAGTTAAAAATAACCTATACATATAAGTGTTTTGTTTCTTAACTTTCTGTAATTGAAATTACATGTGATTATTCTGGAAATTTCTGCTTTTACTCAACAATATCACTATGTTGAGTGTAAATATAGTTCATTTTCACTTCTGTCTACTTTTTCCAGTATATTAATATATCAAACTTCATGATTTATTTTGTTGATAGTCATTTGACTTACATCTATTTGTTTTGCTCTTATAATCAATGCTGCTGTGAACTTTCTTATACATATGTTTGCACAAATGGGCATGAGTGTTACTAGAAATGGAGTTGCAGCATCTTAGGGTATGTGCATGTTCAGCTTTACTGGGCAATGCTGTTTTCAAATGACAGTCTCACCAGCAATAGTTCAGCATTGCTGTGATTTCACATCTTCACCAACATTTAACATATCCTTCTCAGAGGTCATGTGTTTTTGGCAAAATGTCTTTTTTTCTGGCCTATTTTTCTATTAGGATGTTTTGTTTTTGATATTTGGAGATTCTTTACATGTTCTAAATACTAATCTTTTGTTGGTTATTGTATTGCAACTATCTTTTTCCAGCTTACATAACTTATATTTCATTCTTGTGGTGTCTTTGTTGAACAGAAATTCATAATATAATTTTGATGAATGTATTAGTTCTTTCCTTTATGTGTTGTACTGTTTAAGAAAATCTGTATTGTGAGGGGAAGATGTTTTTTCCACTCCTTCTGCTGAATACCAAAGTTGAGATAGGCAAGTTTCCTTGTGTGCCCTTCTGAGAAACAGGTTTCTCATTTATCCTCATACTGAGGTTATAACCAGCTTTATGTTGGGAGTTTCTCCCTAGGTTCTTTCCATCCTGAGGGAGCCCTGGGCTTTATCTCCTGTCTTCCACATGCAGACATGAAATGGCTCTCAGAACAATATAGAGGATAAGGAAACTAGGGAAACAACATCAATAGCTGTTGACTCCAGCACCACACTTCTTAAGCCCTGACCATTACGAAGTCTCACATTCTTTATCTCAGGCTTTACAAAGCCAGGAACTGGACACCAGAATCGCTGTGATATTTGCTGCAGAATAATCATGTACCTCCAAAACCAAGCTTGCTGCAAGAAACAGTACAAATGCAGCCATCAGCTCTGCTTTCGTAATGCTGAGCGGGTGTATCAGGTTTTTCAAAGTTAAGTTGGTGTAGAATTTGGACTCTAAGGGAAACTGGAGCTTCAGTTATCTAGCCACTGGCATGCAGTAAGACATGATAAAGGGAATTTAGAATGGAGTTTTGAGACAATCTACAACGTCAACAAGGAGAAAAGGGGACTTCGACCTTGCCTTCAGGCTTGAGATAGATGAAATGTGGCAAAAACCAAAAACAAAATAACAAACACCTTAAAGATGTAGAAATAAAATAACAGAAATGGTCTCCATTTGTGCAATCTGTGTTAGGGAGTGGCGTCCTTAGTTTTAGTTAGTTTTGTTATCATTTTGGACATGTGAAGTTTATGTGGCCTGTAGAATATTTAAATATTTTAGGAGGCTGCTGAGTTCTATGGATATGGGATTCAGAAGAGAGATATGAACTAAAACTGTGTATTTGGAGTCATCAGGTTGTAAGTTTTGGGTGAAGCTGTGAGAGTAGATGAGGTTACCATACAGTGTATGAATGGAGTGAGAAAGAAGTAGTTCCTATTGTATAGGAACATTTATAGGATAGACAGAAAAAGAGAAGCTCTCACAAAGGAGAAAAAAAGGAGTGAAAAAATAGAACCGAAAATTAGGATACAATATTGTGGAAGTCAAGGGACAAACATTTTCCGGAAAAAAATAAAAAGGTTGTTTATTAATGTTAAATGTTAAATGAAATCTAGATGATCAGACATTTCCTTCAATGTGCAGATTGTATACTGCAGAGTTTTAGAGGGGTTCGTTTGTTAAAGGTTTGCCCTGGATTTGTGCAGAGTTAGCATACAAACTATATATATCCATATGTAAGGACCCTAAATGAGAGTTATAAGTGTTCATTGGTTTTCAAAGAAATCACTGGTCAACACTCATTGTAGTTGTGAGACTTTTAGGGGCAGTTACCAAATTCCACTGGGTTCAGGTAATTGAAAACTGAGGGATGGTCTAACACTTACT